ATGCATAACCCGATCTTAATCGAATTCAAAAAAAAAGAAATAATATTAATATAATATAATTACGAAAAACAAAATACCCAGTAGATCTAATTGATAGTGATCTTTGTCTTTGTCTTGGATCAATTTGATTTTTAGTTGTTTGTTTTTTATGAATACCAAATTTTTGAATTAATCGAGCTTTATCAATTTCATTTGGCATAAAACGTATACGAAAAAATCTAAATTATTTTTAATATTAATGTCATATTATTTAAATAAGACTTACTCTCTTCCAATAACAGGTAAAAGAAGTATAGTACATATAAGTAGAAGTGTAAACCAAAAAGTTCCACTTTTTAATGCTACTTGAAAAATACCAACATATGGATAATTTATTTTAAAAGTTATACGTAATAGTGTCGAATACATGATAAAATGAAAAAGAAAATGAAGTAAAATTGTACCTAATAAAATAAAAATATATATGCCTGTCCAATACCACATTTCAAGAGCATTTTCTAAATTAACAACAATAACTAAAATAGTTGCTACCATAAAACCAAATGTTTGAAAATCGGATAGTACTACGCCAGATGGTTCAATACTTGATAATATACATAAATAGGAGAAAAAGAAAATTATACACGAGGATATAAGACCATGTAAAGCACATTCAACAAATATTTTTCTATTAAATAGTTTATCCTTTTGACCAACTATATACCTAAAATGAAATTATCAATTTAACAACATATAATTCAATTTATCTATTTGTTATTCTTAAAAATTTTGAAACAAAAAATATATGAAATTAACTTACAAATGAGGCTTACTAATCGAATGATTTGCACTTATATCCTATAAATCAATTAAATATTTTTTTTTACTATTCAAAAATGAAAAATAATTAAACGTACTTGATCAAGAACACCTAATACCAAAACAGGACAAGTTGTAAAAAAAATATTATAACAAGTAACAAAGAATGCATCAAATATTGTCTAATTCAAATAGAATATATGACAAAATTTTGTCTTAATATAAAAATCTTACTTGAGCTGAAAATCCACAGTATAAAGCAAACCAAAATTGACAAAATGTAAATGCAAAATTTTTATAGAAAAAATAACGTAAAAATTTTGATATACGTATATAAGACCATCGACCATGAACAAGTAATAATCGTTCAAGATATCGAAATTGACCAATACTATAATCACTCGCTAAAACTGCTTGTCGACCTTCTTGTCCACTAATTCCAATACCAATATGTGCTTCTATATTGACAAACAAAAAGTTTTATTTATTTTTTTGTTTTTTCTTATGAGTTTAAATTATAACTCACTTTGTATCATAGAAACATCATTAGCTCCATCTCCAATAGCTAATGTAATAATTTTATCATGTTTAACAATTAATTCTACTATTTGTGATTTTTGTAAAGGTGTTACTCGACAACATATAACTGCTTTACACATTGTAGCAAGTTCGAGAAATTTGATTTTTAATTGATCTGATAATGCATGAACTAATGCATGTCCTGTTATTAATAAACTAAAACCTTGAAAATTTTCTATATTGATTTTTTTATTTGTATGTTGATTAAATTTATATTCATTAATACCTAAATTTTTCCAATTAAGTCTTTTATTTTGATTATCAATATGAATATTAAATAATTGTTCAATTTTTTCAATTAATTCAATTCGAAATCTATTTAATTCAATAGTTACATCTTCTTCTGTTTCAACATCAATTCTTTTTATTATCATATCATCTGTCAAAAGTTGACAAGAAAAACCAATATTTTCTGCAGTTTCTAAAGAATAAATTAAAAAATAATTTTTACAAAAAAACCAAAAAAAAAATAATAATTATTTTATAATTACCAATTTTATCACCAGTTAACATCCAAATTTTAATTTCAGCTTCTGTTAATCTTTCAATACATTGAGGTACACCATCTTGAAGTTTATCTTCTATTGCAGTCATACCAAGTAATTTCATATTTTTTTCAATTTCTTCATATAATTTATCAATCTTTTCTTCACGTCTTTCCATACTTGTACTAAATAATATTAATGAAAATATTACGAATCACACATAATCAATCAATTTTACTTACGTAGCTTTTTTAAATTTTTTTGCCCAGTTTTCATAATCAACTGCAGTTAATTCCTTCCATGCTAAACATAATGTACGTAAACCTTCACTAGCAACTTTCTAAAGAATAAAAATTGTATATAAACAATTAAATAAATGACATGCATTACGTGTAAATGTTCATGTGTTAGTGCCATAATATTTTTTTCTGATGGATCTAATCTTTCATGGATCACTGAATCAGCACCTTTACAATACAGGATAATTTGTCCATGTTTTCTCACTATAACCTAAAATTAAACATAAGTATCAAACAGAAAATGAAAAGAAATACTTACGGACATACGTTTTCGATAATTATTAAAATCGAGAATATTTAATAGATCATAAGTTTCAATTTTATTTCGAAAACGTACTTTGATACTACTTTGAGTACGATTCTAAATCGATAATATAATAATTTGAGAATTATTTAATTGATTGACATACAAGAAATGCAAAACCAAATATACGTGCAGCTGTTACTAATGCATTTTCATCAGGTGATTGAGCTTGATAAATAATTTTATCATCTTGTTCTTCACTTACAACTGTATGACATAATGCCAAAAGTGTAAAAAAATGATTAATATCATTATTTTCATTTTTTTCAATATCATCAATTAATGTTCTATCATACCAAACAAAATTATTATCTTGTTCTATAAATTTAATTGCTTGTAATTCATCTGTAGTTCGTTTATTATCTTTATTTTCATTCGATATATCTCCATAAAATTTACCTCGAATAGAACATTTCTTGAATGTCATTATATTCTATGAAAAAGAAAATGAAAAAATATTTTTTTATATTCATTAGATTAATACGAACAAAAAAAAACAAGTTAAATTTATATTAAAAAAGAAATTTTTCTAGAAAAATATTCACAATCGAGATAAAATTGATAATATTCTATTGATATTTTAGGTATGAGTAAGACAATTAAAAACTACGAACGATTAAATATCTATTTTCTAGAAAGCAAATATATAATATATGGCACAATGAACATAATATTCTACAAGTTAAACCTAGTTTTTAGAGGATCGTCATCTTTTCGAAGTTCACATTGAATAAAACACTATTCAATAGATATGAAATCTATATCGATATTATAGAATAGAATGAAAATGTTAGTATGATTTCTATTCTATTAATTTAAGATAAAATTATAAAAAAATAATAAGAATAGCAACAGAAATCAATTCAAACACATAGTTATTTCATTTTTAATTGACATACCTGAGTTAATGTTCCTGTTTTATCTGAAAAAATATATTCAATTTGACCTAATTCTTCATTAAGTGATGCTGTACGTGCTTGAGCTTGTATATTATCTGGTTCATAATACATATTATTATCCCAATCGATCCATTTCGATTGTAAAAGACGAATAAATTCTATACTAATATAAAGTGATATTGGTACAACAGTATTCAATAAAATAACATAAGAAAGAAAAACAAGTAAACCCATTTGAATAGCACCAGTACGTGAATTCGATGAAATATAAGATTCCCAAGATAAATAAATACGAAATTTAGAACCAACATTATATTCCCAAAATCCACAACCGATCGCCATTATAGAACATATTAGAAATAGAAAAACAAAAATCTACTGAATATTAAATAATCAAGATTCCTAATGAATGTACTGAATTCAAGATGCCTATGTACTGAGTCATATATCAGCCTGGTACCTTTTTTCAATATTCAATTACCAGTATGTGACAGAATCTTGATTGATTACCCTACTGAGAATTATCTCACGAGCTACCCGAAGTATTGATCGCAGATCCAAACAGAAGTCACTTCAATCGATAGTGCTCGACGAGTTGGTCACGATGGCATTAAACGTTTTTCTCTATACTATTTTTTATAGAATTTTCAGGTCGAATTAACCCTATGGAACAATCACATATAAGTATCAAGCGTTCAGATTGACGGATGTGTACTGTATACATTGCTTTATTGATGAATATACTAGACTATCTATTTGATTCTATGTTGAGTGATTGCTTTCAGAGCCCAAAAGCGAACCAAACTGAACTCGAACCAGACAAGTTTGGTTCGATCCGATTCGAACCTTAACCATTTATGAGTTTTAAAAAATCGTCTAATATACGTGAAGAAGTGCTCTCATGTTTTTCAAACAAGTCGCTAGTTGAAAACAAGGTAAAATAGATGAATTGTTAAAATAATACTACATAAATCCAGCTTACTTTGACTTTTTTCTTTACTAGAACCGAACCTGAACGGTTCATTTCGGACATTGGTTGCTTTTAATGCATCCCAAGTAGTAGTAGTATAACTGTTAGGTGTAGATCTTTTTTCTTTATGAACTGTTTGACAAGTGGACGTTTATTTTTCTGTCTATAATTGTTCGTAGAGGTAAAATTCAACACTATGGCTTTCTCTCTCTCGCTCGTTCCATTGATGGACGATGTTCGGTTGAAAAGAAAAAAAGACAATTACAAATCTAACATATTATATTTGACTTGAGAATTTGAAAAACTATGATCCAGCTGCAATCTCTGGTTCACAATCAACTTTGCGTCAATGTTTTGTATCAATGATTTCATACTCCGAGTCAGCTTGTGAGTATTATTCAGCCGACATATCAATTGTTTTCGAGTATGATCGAGGTTTGCTTAGGTTTTAAGGTGGATTAATGTTCGATATATTACAACTGCAATGATTATCCCCTATGTTTGATGTTCCACAAGTTTAATTAGACCTGAAAATTCTATAAGAAAACAGTATGGGAAAAAACGTTTAATGCCATTGTGATTACTGAAGTGCATGCAAAGATTTCTGTGATATACTAGTAACAGAGTACTCTTACAGATACGTTGAAGTCAGTATATTCACTATGATTATAGAAAATAATTTACTCCTAAGATTATTTTATTTAGCCAATGATCAATTTTGGTTCGTTTAAATTTTGGTTTATCACTATTTTGCATTAGTTTTGTATCTGGACCAGCATAACATACAACTATAAATGAAAAATAAATATGTATTGAAAATTATAGAAGTTTACATATTAAAGACAATATCATATGAAAAATTGAGAATAATTTAACTTACTTCCAAAAGTCCATTCTGTATTTCTTAAACGTGTTCCACGCAATAGAAAATTATCATTTTTTAATGAATATATTTGTTCATTCCATTTTAAAGTACCTTCAAATCGAAGAAAATTATTATTCGGTAGTTCACATTCAATTTCAGCTTAAAATACAAATTGATAATTACTAACATCAATCGAATGTTTTGTTTTTTTTTATTTTTTTTTTACCATCAAATTTCGATAATTTTTCTAAATCATTTTGATGATTAATTGTTATTTCAAGTGCTTCTCGAGGTTTTAAATTTGTTTCACTAGATAAAATATAAAAATTTTCATTTATTTTTAATTAATAATTTCTAATTACCCATCTAAATCAGCTGTTTCAATTAAACATAATCCATTAGGTTCACTTGTTGAAATTAATATCATATCAGCCTTAAAATATTTCAATTAATTAAATTAAATAATTCAAAAATATTTTCTTTTTTTTACAGGTATAAATTCATTATTATTAATTCGTATTATATCACCAACTTTTATTTCTTTCCAATATTTTCTTATAAGTTCTTTATTAATTAAAATATCACTTCGTCGATTATTAATTTGTCTATCACTTCGATATCTTGCCTATAATGAAATAAATATTATAGATTGAAACAACATATATATGTAGAAGAAACAAACAAAATCATCAACACCATCTTTGATTGCTGTAACAGCTAGTACAATAATTAATGATAATAAAGTAGTAATTGGTTGAAGTGAACTAATTTGTGGAATAAATAATAAAATAAGTAGAAATAAAAAGAAAGCATTGGCAAGTCGACGAAATTGTTCAAAAAGATTTTTTGGTAAAAATGTTATTATATTATATTTTGTTGTTGAAATTCTATTTTTCTTTGAAATAAATAAATAAATAAATTTCAATTAATTATTTGTTAGATTTTATCTTACTGGAAATTTTTTTAATTCATTATATATTGAATTATTAGCTTTTATTATTCGATTAGCTGCTAAAAATATAGAATAAAGATTAGTGTTATTATTATATCATGATAAAAAAAAAAAAGAAAAACGTTACTTGTAACTTTATTTTTATTACAACAAAATATTCTTTGCATATTTGTCTATGTACAAACATCAATCTAAAACAATCAATGTATGATATTGAATAAGATCCTTCATTACTGCTTGTGTATGATGAATGACCTAATTTGTTATTAAAAGAAAATTTTTTGCAAATGTTTTTTTTTACTAGAAAAGAGTATTTAAATAGAGTGATGATAAGAAGATGTCATATGTCAGTTTATGTGTGTCTAAAAGGAAGAGAAAAACTCTCTGTAGAAAATAGAAATGATATAACTTTCTCGATGTATACATTATCGTTCATTATAGAATATTTTGTTACAAAAAAGAATACTTCAGAGCAAGAAGAATCTTATCAAATAAGAATAATTCAATTAAATAGTACTTTAGAGATTTATCCTCTGTTATAGTAAATAAAAGACTTAATCTTTTTCTATAATAGCGATAAAAAATTCATTACCTTTAAAAAGGTCAACAGAGGGATCAACAATAATTATTGATGCATTGTGCTAATAAGAGATTTTCAAGGTTGTAAATGGTGTGCTTTTATATTTTTTTTAAGAAATCGAATATTGACCTATTTTATTTCTCTGTTCTACATTTGAAATTGTTGACTGTCTTATAACTTTCATATATCAAAATTAACGTTTGATATCAGCTTCCTTTTTTCTTTGTGTCTTTTCGTGCGCAAGAGTATATCTAAAATATTTTTGTGTTCTTTTCTTATCTTTATAGATTTATTTCTATAATACGAACTGTCAGGTCTTTAGTTTATTATTATTTTTTTTTTTTTGATTTAGTTATTGAATGTTTAATAATATATAACTCAAACATTTCGTTTGTAATTATTTTTTATGTTATTCTCAAAGGAAAAACAGCAAACTTCAAGACTGAAGTTTTCGCTGTTTCGTCCTTGGATCTTTTCTAATTGAATTATTTGTTTTTTTTTAATTTTGTAATGAAATGATTTGACAAAAAAAAATATTTCGAATTGAAGGAAATCCAATAAGGATTAAATCATTTTTTCTTTCTTGAATGAATTTATTATTATTTGACATACATACTTAAATATTTGCTAGATAAGATAATGTTAATTATCTATGAAGAAATTATCAAAATTGATTTGTATAAAGACTAAACCAAAGAATGTATTAGAATTATTCTTTTTATCATTTCAACAAATTGTTCTTTTAATTCAACGCAATTACTATCGAATATTCTTGTACATCGTTTAATGTCTTTTTCCTTTTATATAACTAAGCAAATAACAACAATTGAATAAATCAATATTAACAAATGATAGTTATTACATTTAATCTTTTAAATTATAATCGTTAACAGTAGGATAAAACAATCAAAAATTAATATTTATTTGCTATATGATGATAGTTGTCCTTCATTGAAGTTTAACAAGATATCTCTATGTCTATAACGACCGTACACAATAAATTTATATTTTAATTCTTAGAAAAAAAAAAAAATTTTCACTCTGTATTCAATAATATAGAAACGTAATTTATTCTTGATTAAATTTTATTCAACAAGTATTGAATTTTTAATAGACAATATTTTGTAGAAATATTATATTGAACTGATTGATATTGTACAGAATTTTTTCATGGCATCTAATAGAAATAACAGTAAATCTTTTAAATACTAACCATAAACTATGTAGAAAAATAGATTCATTTTTTTAGAAAATATTTTGACTTTAATGTTTAATTGTTGTTTTGTTACAATCACACCACAATTAGCTGTAAATTATTAATTAAATTGTCGAAAAATGCTCGATTAGTGACATTATATTTACATTGAAATACTTTGAATTCTGTTTCTTTAAATACTTGTTCGTAAGTTGCCGGAGAGCAATAAAAATTGATAAAGATTTATGACAAAGTACATATCGTCATAATATACTGGTATTTATCAAGCATGGTCTTTTGCGCTACGACATTGTCAATCATGTGAATAGGTTTTTTTTTATTTTTGCCGAGTTTGTTTTTGTATATTGCCTTATTTAATTCTCTGACTCTGTCAGTCCTAAAGGGACTTATAACTAGCATTTAAAAAGACCACGATAAAAAACTGAAAAAGAAAACGAACGATATGAGGAAAAGATAGTTTCTAAAAACCAAAATATTTAAAGCTTTCAGAAAATTCTGTAAAGAATAGATACTTCTTTTGTATCTAGTGATACAATTCAGTTCCCTTGAGATATAATCAGATGCGATCCAATGTGTGATACTGAGATGATCGATAATAAAACGATGAAGTGATAATGAATTATGTATGAATGAAAATCAGAGATCGAAATGAATAAGAAAATTATTATTCGGCTTCGATTCGATCTTATTTTCGTACATATTTCCTAGGGTATTTGTAAAAGACGCGATCACCACCAAATCAACAACCAATACCATGGGCGGATCTGGGTGTGGGTATGTCAGAAGGGAACACAGACATCCACACCCCACACCCTAAAAAATATAGTTTTTTAAAACTCTTATGACAGCCGAATGAAGTCTTCTAGAAAATGAATTGTAAAGTCTGTGTTAATTTAATAATATCCATGAAAGATGCTTCCAGTATTCTACAAAACAAATATCACCATAATGTTCATTGCGCCCAGTGACCTATTATGAATCTGAAATAAAATTTCAAACTATAATAGAAATGATAAAAAAATGTTTACGTATTAAAGTAAATAACGTGTGTTTTAATGCCATTTTAGGTGATCAAATAACAACATCAACAACTGAAACAGACGTGAATAGCGATGATGATAAAGAAAATCGCCGAAAAAGGCAACGAGCTATTATATCAGATGACAAGTTAAACGATAAACGACGATGTCTTAAAGTAAGATTCATATGTTTTATAGACAAATTTCATTGTTGAATACCATGATAACTTAAAAAATTAGAGTGAATCTGATAAAAAAAAATGCAGAACTAATGTATAAACATAAAATATATTATCCTTTTATTGATGAAAAGAAACTAATTTGATTGAAAATGTGATGTTGTTGATAATGATCAAGGAAATTTAAAAAATATAATTGACTAGTTCTACTATCGAAGTTTAAGAAACTCTTTTGTGCAGGACGTCAATCGATTGCTTTTTGAATTTGACACAAGAAAATAAACACGATGTTTTTTACTTAATTCGTCAAAATTGATCTAGATACAATAAATAAATATTATTCTTCTCTATCTTTATGCACTTTAATCAGATGCAGTTTTACATTCCAAGCGATTTGGAATAGCTTTTTAAAAGTGGTGAAACTTCGATCTGTAGATAAGGAATTTTCACTTTGAATCTTATACTAGTTCAGTGAACTTGTTTTTCTTGTAAGTTTTCCTTTAATCGAACAGACAAAATGATCACTATCAGAATAAGGGATTAGATCATAATCAGCATATTGAAATATTCTTTGTTCGGGTGTTTCTTTTTTTTTTTCTTTTTATTGCCGTAATTTGAATGATATAATGGAAAAAGACAGAAAGGAAAAATATCGAAAACAAAAATAATACAAATATAGATGGATAGAAACGCTGAAAACGAGAGTATATTGAAATACGAATCTCCCTCACCCTCATCTTCAATCTTACATGTTCATCTTCATCTCATATTCTTGTTTCCGACATTTTTATTTTCGATATTTTTCCCTTTTGACATTTTTTCTTTCTGCCTTTTTCCATCCATTCTTGATGAACATCATAATCATTATTGTTTAATCTTGTCTCTACTATATTTTCTAAAATATATAAGTTTCCGAGAGAGCTATAACTGCAATAATGACAAAGATTGTAAATATACGAAGAGATAGCATAGGTTTTTTTTTGTTATTTCAGACATCAAGAAAAAAATATAGTTTGCAATAATAAGAATGAGATTAGAAAGAAAATGCGAGATTTAATAAAAGAGAATCATGTCAATTATACATGACTACCATCAGATCATGATATACTAAAACTTTCTTTAAATTTTAGATTTAGTAGTTTCTGATTTTTATGCAGATAAACGATTATCTCATGGATTTTCAAAGATGATTGCTGGTCGTTCATTGATTTCCCATAGTCGTCATAATGATCAATACCAAGGAGCATAAACTAATCGATTTCTAACTTTCAAGAATAATTAATATTGGTGTTTCTGAGTTTATCGAAATGCATAACAGTGCGTTCAAACCTGCTCTAGATATAATGAATGTGTAACAACAGGCTAACTTACTAATTATAGTAATATAAATAATATTAATTTAAGAGATAACAATAAAAGAAAACAATTCCTGTTCGAAACGTGAAAATAAGTAGAACAGATTGTTTATCTAATGATCGATTGTTCTTGAAAAGTAATTATAGATTGCTACAGATTTTTTACCATTGGTATTGTAAATTAATTTAACGAAACTAATGAACATATATGAGCTTCATGCTTTAGCCCCCTAGGATTGCACTATTTCTAGTTACTCAATATGAAATGGACGTTAAAGTTCAATCTACATATAAGAAAATAATTTAAATTACTGAAAAAACAGATAATCTTATATTTTTATTGAACATCATAATGAACAAATAAAGTCCTAGTAGATTATAAAAAGTATTATAAGAATGAGTAACGCTACGGAAATAAAAATTTTAATTAAACTTCACCCAGTCACTCATTTGCTATTATATTGATATTTAATTCAATTGAAATCGATACATTATTTACTACTAGCGAGAACCCGTGCATGCTGCACGGTAGTTTTTTATCATCGAAAGCAAGTTTTTCGTGAGGATCAGGAGATTATCAGGTGTATTATTAAAATGTGTATTTCCGTTGTATCAAAAGAATTTATTTACATAAACTTCATTTTATTCTAAAACAACAAATTTACAAAATTTCTTTGAAAACAATGTTTTTAGTTTTATGTCTTTCACTATTTTTTTCTTTTTTGATGATTTGTACCTTGATAGACATTAGAGAGTGAACTCTTGAAAAAGCAACATATAGTTGTTCATGGCTGAAAACTGGTTGTGGTAGAAGTAGT